ACAGTGGAGGACTGTGGCCATCCAAAGCCAGAGATATACACATATACACATATATCTATGATCGAGAGTTTTCCTGGATGTTAGTATGTAATTTTTTTTTCTAATTACGAAAATTATAATTTTACATCACTTCTACATTGATGGATCAGTGACCGCACGGGCAATCCTGACAAAAAGCTTGTGTTTGTGTGTACAGAAATGTACTATTCACCCTCCCTGTTAAATTTAGTCTAATCTGTGTCCTGAAACACACCTCCTCTCCTGCTTTCACTTCTCATACTGACGGAGGGAGCGATTAGTTTGTGAATGAATCCCCCGAACGACTCTTTTACTAACGTTAGCCGACAATAATTCAAGTTTCTGGCAGTGCAGCATCTCATTGTCATATTTCCTTTGAATTGTTTGCTGATTTTATTCAACAAAACTAGCATAAGCCGAGTGTTTAGTGCGAGTTGGAGCTGCTTTGCCTTATGGTGAATGCAGTAAGTGACTGTTATCATCAATAACGTTACCTGATTAGAACAAAAGTTCAGAACATACAAAAACAGAAAAAAACGTAATATTACCTATGAAATGTTCTGCCTTTGTGCTTTGTTTTCTTTGTTTGCTTGTTACCACACCCTTAGACAGCGCTAAAGTCCCGCATCTTCACGTAATAACACTGTCTTGACTAGTGCGGTTGAATGACATTTGTCCTGGGAGCACTGTACCAATGTGGCGGCGCTATTGACGCATGCTCAGGGTCCCTATGCGATATCTAGTGTATATATCTATGCTCCACACCTAAACCCAAGTCTCAAAGTTACGGTTTTAACCTCTACACCTACACCTAAACCCAACCATCATAGTTATTAACGTTAACACCTACCCTAACCCTAAACCCAATCCTTACAGTTACTAACGTCTACAACGACCCTTAAAAAAAAAAGAAAAAAAAAACATTTTTTTGTGTCTCGGGAGGATATATCAAAACAAGGACAAATGAGAACCTTTCTGTCATAAACTATAGTGAAACAGCTTGTCGAAAGCTGCGATTAGATTACATACTGTACAGGAATAGAGAAAAGAGCACTCTTTAATTATCAGCTGTTAGTCAGCGCCCGCTGTTTTTTTTTTCCTGGTCATTTGCTGTGTGCTGTGTAAATGCAGACGATCGTATACTTTCAAGTCACTTTCAAAAGATGATGTAAGCAGGTCATCAAAAAATCGGATACAGTCACAAAATCGGAGTTGACCATCAAGATCTGCAGTGTAAATGCAGCCTTTTTGCCTTGATTTTTATAAGCTATTGGCTGTTTATTAGTACTTATCAAGTGCAATATTATTCTACATGGCTAATACCTAAACCTACTTTTTAAGGGGCAAAATAAGGAGTGTTTATTGAGCAAAATGTCATAGTTAATGGTTTATTAAAATTGAGAATTGTGCAAAAAAGCATCAATTTTTTCAGTGTTTAAATTTACACATTATAGAATAATTTCCAAATAATGTTAATTTCAATCATTTACGCCCCTTTAACACAACTCGAACTAACTTCTAATAACACTCATTTGCATGATTCATATTAAAACCATTTTCTTGTGTGCTATAATTTTGTACAGAGCCCGCATCTTGTTTTGTAACATCTAAAAGTGTTTTCGACATGCTGTTGAGAATCTTTAGGTGAGCAAACGAACGTCTGCTTGAGTGTGATTGTGAAAGAAAAAAATCTCAGAGCGTCAGATGCTTTCATTGAGATTCGCAGGTGCTGAAGTGTCATTAATCAGCCTGGTGTTGGAGAGTCTGCTGGCTGAATCTCTGACTCGCAGCGGCACTTTCTATCTGTCTTTGCATCTTTTCTTTTTGTTAGCGCTTCCTGCAGTCTGTCTGTGGGCCACTTGACTTATGCAATGTCAGATTGCATAACTCCTGCATGGCGCGTTTTTTGCCATGCATTCTCAGTGCAGGAATGGGCCCTTGAATAATAAAGCAGCTTATCCCATGAATTGTCAGCTTCATTAAATTATTCAAGCAACGCAATAGGTGCGGACAGGCTCTCCACCACTGGAGCAGAGAATTGAGGCTTGAGAAATGAGAAATCCATTCTGTTTGCCTATATCTCAGCGTTTTTAATGAAATCAGAGGGCTAAGTCTCATTTCATTATGTTTACCATTCTTCCACATTGGCGGACCGACCTTCATTATTTCATAAGAAAGTCTGAAGCTAGAGTTTGACTGTAGAATTTCAATTATTAATTCATACTAAAACCCCAGATATTTGTCTATTATTGAAGAAAAACTTCCATCTAAATTAACCTTTAGTAGAATAAAAACAATTTTACTATAAAATATTATATTCCCATATACAGTTAAAGTCAGAATTATTACCCCTCTTTGATTTTTTTTCTTTTTTTAAATATTTCCCAAATTATGTTTAACAGAGCAAGGAAATTTTTACAGTATGTCTGATAATATTTTTTCTTCTGTAGAAAGACTTATTTATTTTATTTTGTCAAAAATAAAAGCAGTTTTAAATTTTTTAAACACTATTTTAAGTACAAAATTATTACCCCCTTTAAGCTTTTATTTATTTATTTATTTGTTTGTTTATTTATTTTTTCGATAGTCTACAGAACAAACCATTATTATACCATTACACCAGACATTTACATCTGGACCACATACTAAATGGAATGATGGCCGGTCCACTCCTGTTTGTCAATCTGGGCCTTGAATAAGCCAAAGCAATACCACATATTAGCCAGAATTCAACCAAATTAACCAGAACTGACCCCATTCTGGGCTACAATTTGCTTTAAAATTATTATTATTATTATTATTATTATTATTATTAATATTATTGTTGTTTTTGTTGTTGTTTTGTATTGTATTGTATTGTATTGTTTGTCAATTAAAAACTCTCATTTTTGAGGCTGCTATGTTCCTCCAGACATGTTGGGAAAGTCTTCGAGAAATATGCCTTTTTTTCCACCAAGGCAACCCAGTGTGTTGTAATGTAATTGGGTAAACTGATAGTAAGTAGAGTTACTCAGACCAAAACAAAGACATACATTCTGATACGAAACACACATTTTCAGAACTTAGCATGTTCAGCTAGCAAATTTCTTAAATAACTGCAGAAATGTTATGGGATTCTTATGATTTAAAGAGTTAAAAACGTATACAGCACCATTAAGGGTGTATTTACATGACCGGGTGCTCCAGTTTCCTTCACAAGTCCAAAGACCTGTGGTATTCGGGAATTGGGTAAGCTAAATTGTCCCATGTGTATGTGTGTGAATGAGTGGCGATCCTGGATTAATAAAGAATGAAAAGAAAATGAATGAATGTCGCACACTTTTGATAGTCATAAATTTTCATGAAAGTTACCGTGTGGCATTTATTAGGAGGTTTGCTAAAGGTGCAACTGTTGTGCAGTGGAGGGTTTGTATCTGTAACAAACTATGAAAGTTTGCATTTATTGAAAAGTCTAAATAAATAAAGCTTATTGTCAATTCAACCACATGTACATGACATATAGAGAATCGAAATTACGTTACTCTCAGACCCTAGGTGCCCAACATATAATGTTAATACAAAAAGAGTTTTAAGAAAAAAATTACAATAAATACAATTATACGTTAATTGTAATCTAATATATACATGAGATGTACTCTAACGAACAATACAATACAATGACACTCAGGGCATATGGCAATGAGTGCAAACCAGAGTTGTACAGATTTAGGACAGTTTTTAGTGCAAAAAGGCTTGAAAAAGTAAGAATGATTATTAAATCCAAATGAAACAGTCTCTTAAAAGTAACTTTGCATCTTCAGTTTCGACTCAAACTACATAGAATAATGCACCAAAACGCCCAACCGAAACGTGCACTGGCACACTTCTTCCCATCTGGCCAGGGCCGGCCAACTGAACCGTGACTGGGCCCAATTCAGAGCACTTACACATTTCAACTGAAATGGGTGTCAAACATCCCAGGACATGGTTCACATAGCCTAGTGTGAGTACCCCCAATATACATGCACATAATGTCACAGTCTCCACAAAAGTGTGTTTTTGTAGTTTATGTATAGACAATAATGGTATAATTTGCTAAAACCTTTGAAATTTGAAGGTTTATATTTTCAGTCAACCAAAACACTTTTATTGTGTTGATTTAAAACAATCTACTTTATTTAAATTGTTTTCAACCACAATTAATAAGTAGGATAAATAAGATAAAGCCACAACCAAATCACCCTGCAGCCCAAGATCGGTTACTCACTGAAGCTAAGCAGGGCTGAGCCTGGTCAGTGGGAGACCACATGGGAAAGCTAGGTTGCTGTTGGAAGTGGTGCTTGAGAGGCCAGCAGGGGGCGCTCAACCTGTGGTCTGTGTGAGTCTTAATGCCCCAGTAAAAGTGAAGGGGACACTATACTGTCAGTGGGTGCCGTCTTTCTGATGAGACATTAAACTGAGGTCTTGACTCTTTATGATCATTACAAATATCATGGCACTTCTCGTAAAGAGTAAGGGTGTAACCCCGGTGTCCAGGCTAAAGTCCCTCAATCGACCCTTACGATCATGGCCTCCAAATCATCCCCATCCACCGAATTGGATCTATCACTGTCTCTCCAATCCACCAATAGCTGCCGCTTTTGTCCTGTGGCTGCCATCGCATGGATGCTGCACACTGGTGGTGTGGAAAGAGCCCCCCTCATAAAAGACCCCTCCTACACAATAAATGCACTATATATAAAAAACAAAAATACACATACACATTCCACTATTTTCAGGCTTTAGTCATCCACCGGGTAAATCTAATTTAATGACAAATAGCTTGTAACCTTTCACATTTTAGCTATGTTTTAATGATTGGGATCAGACTCCCACAGTGTCAGTCTATGCATAGTAGCAACATTGTTTGATGGAGCGAGTAAGTCATTTCATTCAGCACCTTTGAGAGACTCAGGAACAACTCATGACACTTATGTCATCTTAACTCTCTTCTTTCTCATCAGGGTTTCTGTTGGTGTAGGCATCAAGCATGAAGTGGAATGTGTTGAAGAAGAAGCCGGCGGCCATGGTGGGACCTGAGCCAACCGGTGCCAGTGCCCTGACAATGGCCCCTGCTGTTTCTACACCTGCAGACAACTCCACCGAGCACCAGGGTCCAGTCAGCAAGAATGACGTGTTTGGTGACATCAAAAACAAGTTCCTCAATGAGATGGACAAGCTTCCACGTGAGTTTCTGTCTACATATATGTGATATTTGTAGCATTGTTAAATCCAAAATGTTTCTCCAGCAACCAGAAACTGTAAGTCAACCTCAGAGATTCTGACTCTGCCGATAATTTGTGTTGCATGAACCATTTGTAACAGTAGTGTTATGCCTATAGAAACATCCTAACAGACACAGAGAGTCATCCTAGCAAAGCCCTTGCAACAATTTAAAGCAAAACCTCAACACCCTAGTGACTGCAGAGCAATGACCTTGACACTGTTCAGAGGAACCTAACAACTGCATAGCAACAACTCGAAACACATTAGCAATCCCTTAGCTCCTCTCAAAAACATCTTAGCATTTATCAACGCCCTACAACACCACCTAAAATGGCTTATAAAACAAACAGTACAATGAAGAAATCACTTGACAGTGGCCTTGAACCAGAACAACTTAGCAACTCTATTGAAACATATCAGAATAGACTTGCAATTCCCAAGCGACCATCAAACATCTTAGGCACTACCTAGTAGCACTATTCAAAACTACAATATGCTAGAACAGAGGTCTCAACTTTGTATCCGGGAACCCACTGTCTTTTAAAGTAAGGGTCTCCACATTTGATCCTGGAGGGCTGGTGTCATGCAGATTTTAGCTCCAAACCTAACCAAAAACATCTGAACCAGCTAATCAGGGTCTTACTTTGTATTTGAAATGTCCAGGCAGGTGTGTTTTGTGACTTCTGCTGTAGAGTTTAACTCACAGTCTTATGAAGCACATCTGAAGCAGCTAATCACACTCTTTTAGGTCATAAGAAATCATAAGGACAGTGACACTGAAGCAGATTGGAAGTAAACTTTTAAGGACAGAAAGCAGTGTTCAAACCTCTAAAGGTTCAGATACCGCCTAGAAATGGCCTAGGAATCATCCAAAGCAACATAACATGTACAGTACTGTACATTTACAGTTAAAACCAGAAGTTTGTATACACTCTAAAAAAAGGAACATAACCAATTTTTTTTTTTTAAATGTGTGATGGTAATTCATACTAAACGTTGACTATTTTAGGTCCGTTAGGATTACCTAAATCATTTACATTTGCTAAATGCCAGAATAAAGAGAGAATTTTATTTTTTAGCTTTGCTTCTAAACTCTATACCTTTGGTCAAATGTTTTGGGTACCCTTCCACAAGCTTCTCACAATAGTTTAAAAGAATTTTGACACATTCCTCCTGACAGAATTGGTGTAACTGAGTCAGATTTGTTGGCTGTCTTGCTCGCACAAGCTTTTTCAACTCTGCCGACAAATTTTCTATAGGATTGAGATCAGGGCTTTGTGATGGCCAAAACATTTACTCTGTTGTCCTTAAAGCACATTTTAACTAATTTGGCAGTATGTTTGAACCATGGTCTGTTTGGAAGACCCATTTGTGGCCAAGTTTTAATTTCCTGGCTGATGTCTTGAGATGTTGCTTTAGTATTTCTACATAATGTTCTTTCTTCATAATGCCATTTAAGCTGTGAAGTGGACCAGTCGCTCCTGCAGCAAAACAGCCACGCAACATGATGCTGCCACCCCCATACTGCGCAGTTGGGATGATGTTCCTAGGCTTGTATGCTTTCCCCTTTGTCATCCAAATGTAACACTGGTCATTATAGCCAAACAGTTCAATCTTAGCTCCATCAGACCACAGGACATATCTCCAAAATTAGATCCACCATTCTGTTAAGTTCAGCTCCAAACCTCACAACATAACCAACTAAATAAGATCTTAATGAATACATAATTATCACAAAGATATTTTGATACTAGGAACTCCAGGTCCTAGTAAAATTTAGATACTTTCTAACTGAACTGATAGATTACACCTACAGTAAAATTGCAACACTGACACTAGAAAGCAACTGTACCACCATACAAATGTACTACAGAAACCACTTACCCTAGAGCACTGTTCCCCAAGCACTATCTACTACTCTACACTTAAACACAGAACAAGTCATATCAGTATGTCTCTCCTCACCCACCATCAATGTGCCTCATCCACATGTATAGTGTGACGATAGTCACAGAGCAAAGGTACCAGTTCACTCACCACACACCAGCTATAAGTGAAGAGGCGAGACGATGTTAGAGTCAATCCAATGGATTGGGATTATTAGGATAAGGGCAAATGGGAGGATTTTGTCTAAGGGAACACCCCTACTCTTTATGGTGAGTCCCAGGAGATTTTAATGACCTCTGAGAGTTACTGGTGTAACTTCTTATCTAAAGAACAATGTTTCGTTCTTACAGTTTTAGTGTCAGCCCCTCACAAACGGCAGCCATATAAACAAACCAACAACAACCAACAGAAAAAGTGACTGACCTTACATTCTCATGTTGCTATTGAACACTATTCAGAATTTCTGCAAACCTTGTCTTTGTCAAGTCAGTTTAAATTTTGTTGTGCATCACAAATTGCATACTGATACATTATTAAATGAAAGTAAAACTGAAAGTGAAAGACCAGGGGCCTCATGTACTAAGACTTGTGTGGAAATCTTACTAAAACATTGCGTACGCACAAAGCTGTAAATGTGCGTACGCAGAAAAAAATTCAGATGTATGAAACACTGCGTACGCCGAATCTCACGCATATTCTTTTGTACATCCGAATGAACGTGAAACTGAGCGCAACATGCACGAGCACAAAACCCCTCCCTGCCTCCTCCCCCGTATGAATATGCTAATGACTATGCTAATGGCAAAACCCAACGAAAAAGCAATGGCAAAAGCAAGCAAAAAGAGAAACTTTGAACAGAATGTGAAATGGAGGTGCTGCTTTCGGAGGTAGACCAGAGAAAAGCTGTGTTATTTGCAAGTTTGTTCTCCGGAATTAACAACAAAAGAAAAAATAGAGTGGGAGAGTTTAGCTGATGCGGTTAACACAGTTGGGTCTGAACATCGCACTGAGTGCATTAAAAAAATAAATAATCTGGTTTATATCTGTAAAATGTTGCAGCACTCTTAATAGTCTCAGTGGCGCGCTCGTAAGACGCATGTGGTCATGTTTTGACACGTTCGAGCATGAACTCGGCTCGAATCCAGCGTCTGAACTCTTTCTTCTTTTTTTTCCCTGCTACATATCAGATTTTGCCAACTATTTATCACGAGAAAGACAAGTAGGAATCATCAATAAGTTCATATCAATAAGCATCATATTTTATTTGCACATTTATTGAATGGAAATGTTTCTGATTCACGCATGCAAATTCATCTTCAGAAAGTGTCTTTATAGCAATGTGCGTGCAGTAGATAGCTCAGATTACATTGGGAAAACAGGCGACTGCTGCAAATTGTGCTTTAATGTTTAGCTGGTCAACTGTATGGTATGGAAACCTTATTTACCTGCTAGATGAACACGTCTCATACAGCTGCCATTGCAAGGCTCAGACACTTTGTAGAGAGGAATTTAACACAACTGCCTCTAGGAGTCGCCAATGGAAATAAAACAGACACGCACAAAAAATGTGCGTACGCCTGCCAAAAAGCTGCCGTGAAGCTGCGCACATTCCCACGTTCAGTTCATTGTTAGTAAATCCAAACGTGAGCCATTCTGAGCGTGAAACCTGGCGTACGCAAAGTTTTTGTGCGTACGCAACGTTGATACATGAGGCCCTAGAGCAGTGGACAGCCATTGCAGCAGTTGGAGGATCAGTGCCTTACTCAAGGGACTTACATCAGCCATAGTATCAAGGGTAGAGTGCTGGCTATTCATTCCCATCTACAATCGTTGTTGGTGCCGGGGGTCGAACTTGCAACCTTTCAATCATGTCCAACTCTCTAACCTTTAGGCCAAATTATTCAACCAATAAAAAGCAGTGTGTAATGTCTAATGGTTGCAGATTTGCTCATGTAGTGGAGAGGGAGGTTGCTGAGGTAGGATTTTGTTTTAGGTTGTACACTTAAAACTCTCCTAAAGAGATGATTAGGGCACCTCCTAATGACAAATGCAGTTGTACTTTTGACTATGTGTTATGTACTATGTGTTAGTTTAGTGATTTATTTCACTAATTTAGCAACAATTAAATGTTGTCTTGAATTTTTTATTTGTAAAAAAGAAGTTTGAGCATATAAGTGCCGAGTCTAAAGCCTGGTTTATACTTCTGCGTCAAGTGACCGGCGTAACCCACGGCGCATGCAACGCGCGTAGCTGTGCATTTATACTTCTGCGCGCTGTCTCTGTTGGTCTGCATTAACACTTCCGAAACACTAGTTGGCAGTGAGGTGTAAATGTTCCTCTGTGTCGAGTTTCTTCGCTTCTGTTTTGCGTTTCCTGAACACTTCCTGGTTGTAGAAGTGACTCAAACTCGCTCATTTTGAGGCAGGAAACGGCGGACGTGCAACAACTTTAACTATGAGGTAAACACAAAACAAAACTTTCCATCCGGAGCTCCTTCACGGGACTCCACACTTATAAACAATCGAGATATATCCAGCTGCAGGCCCGCAGAACCACACACGTTTGAGGCACACACAATCTAGGACACACAATCTAGGCAAACCATATATGGTAACTTACTGTTTAGCATTATCGCCATCTATTGAATTTCACAAATATGGTTTCCCATTTCAGTCATTATTATTATTATATCGTAACGATCATTTTAACATCTCTGCAGTTTTTGAACTTAAATTATGTAAATAAAAATAATTGGTTAAAGAAACTTATGACTTTATTCATGTGTCCATATACACAAAGAAAACATAATAGACCGTCTAATTGTTGGATCAAGTGTAATAAACTAATTCAAGCTCTTAATATTATCATTCTTGGTATAAAAAGCAAACAATAATATGTCACTTTAAAATAAATTAGCCTACTATAGTTAACCATTTAATCAATATATATATAGTTATAAACTGATTTTCTTAACTGATTATAATTATAAGTTTATATATAAACTACTATATTTTACTAAACTGTCACTGTTAAAGCTGTTATATATATATATATATATATATATATATATATATATATATATATATATATATATATATATATATATAAATATATGTATGTGTGTGTGTGTGTGTTAACAATCATCAAATAGCTAATATATTAGTTTATAAACACTATTAAATCGCTTGAGTAAAATATTAATATAGTGTTATACATTTGTTACATGTAAAAAGATTTTTATTACATATAATGTATTATTGCCTATATTAACTTGCTATTATTTCCTTCACCATAAATTAATCCATTATATAAATTAAACCTGTCCAAATGAGATCATTCAGCAAGGCCAGCAAACGAGTATCTGCCATATTATTGTCAGATAATAATGACTGATCAGCTATAATGACTGATTAAAAACTGTTCACTCTATTATATTGAATGGCGAGTGGAAACAATGCTCCCCATTCGGCTGTCTCAATCGCAATATTTGTGAAATAAAGTAAAGTAAACACTATTGTTTATTGTGTACAATATTTATTAATCATATATAAATATATCGATGACGATGTCCAAAAAGACATTATAACTTTAACATCCGTCATAACCATATAAGGTTTGCCTAGATTGTGTGTCCTAGATTGTGTGTGCCTAAAACGTGTGTGGTTCTGCGGGCCTGCAGCTGGATATTATTGAAACAATCGCTCGCGCCATTCGCGCGGCTCTCGGTCCCGCCCCGACTCGTCAGCGCCACCAAGCCGACCAATCACAGAGCTTGCGCTACGCATCATTCCGACGTGTAGTTACATTTTTTGAGAGGTGCACGTCAGCAACGCCGACGGCCACGGCGAAGGGCTATGCGTCAGCGCCGTAGCACACGCCGGCGTTTGACGCTGAAGTATAAATCCGCCTTTAAAGTGTCAAATTCACAGCATCTCATTCGGGACACAACTTTTGTCTCACTGTTTCCAGAGCATAACTGAAGTGGCTATGACAAGCAGATCTAATTTCCTCTTCTATATATTGATCTAGGGCTAATAATTAAGACTTAGCTTTCTTAATGGCCATGATAGTCTAAATGTATATTTCCACACCTTGATGCTCCATCTTTGTCTGTGTTTCTCTCACTTTCAGTTCCTCCCTGGGCTATCATCGCCATTGCTATCGTTGCTGTGGTCCTCATTCTTACATGCTGTTTCTGCATCGTAAAAAAGACCTGCCTAAAGAAGAAAAAAGGCAAGAAGGGAAAGAAAGGCAAAGGTGACATGGGAATGAAGAACATGAAGGGAGGAGAGGTATGAACACCCAACACCTTCAATTTTATTAAGATTGTTCACCCCAAAAATGAAAACTGTATCATAATAGGTAATATTTGATGTTTCAGAGATGTGAGATGCAAAATGGTTATAGAGCATAAAATGGGGAGTAACAGTACACAAATTTGTATTAAAAAATAGTGTGGGTCATTTGATTTGGTATGCAGTAAGGCTGTGCAATATGACAATATAAAGTTGAAATCAGATTTATTAGCCCCTCTTTGAATTTGTTTTCCTTTTCAAACATTTTCCAAATGATGTTTAACAGAGCAAGGAAATTTTCACAGCATGTCTGATAATGTTTTTTCTTGTGGAGAAAGTCTTAATTGTTTTATTCCAGCTAGAATAAAATCAGTTATTCATTTTTAAACACCATTTTAAGGACAAAATTATTATCCCCTTTAAGCTTTTTTTTTTTTTCCGATTATTATACAATAACTTCCCTCATTAACCTAACCTGCCTAGTTAACCTAATTAACCAAGTTAAGCCTTTAAATGCCACTATATAGAAGTGTCTTAAAAATATCTAGTCAAATATTTTTTACTGTCATCATGGAAAAGATTAAATATATCAGTTATTAGAGATTAGTTATTAAAACTTTTTTGTTTATAAATGTGTTGAAAAAATCTCTCTGTTAAACAGAAATTGGGGAAAAAATAAACAGGGGGGCTAATAATTCAAGGAGGCTAATAATTCTGACTTCAACTGTATATGGTATGCACAAAAAAGTCTGTTGTTTTATATTTTGCTCTATTGTTTATGTCATGGTGTCTCAAAATAGATTGTTTACAGTATTACTTTTTTATTATAATTTATATGAACGCAAAATTACATGTCATTACAGGGATGCAGACAGAAACTTGATTAACAGCCCTGTAAGAAAAAAGCATTGCTGAAAAAATAAATTTTCATTTAATTAAGAAATATTGTTTTCTAATTGGAAATAATTAGCTTTTGTGAAGGTTTAATATTTCATTAATATTTATTTTAGATTTCTACATTAATCAAACATTAGGCCTGAAGTTCCAAAGAACAATGAAATATAAGAACTAGGAAATATGAAACAAATATTTTTGAGTATATACTTTAATATGTAAAAAAAAAAAGAAGAAGAAGAATGAAAGTGTTTTACATGTGTTCAAAAAAAAAAAAAAAAAAAAAATATATATATATATATATATATATATATATATATATATATATTTTTTTTTTATATATATATATATATATATATATATATATATATATATATATATATATATATATATATATGAACTATTATTTGATCAAATTTACACAAATGGTACTTTATCGTGATATATATTAGCATATGAGATGACATATCATGATATGAGATTTTTGTCATACTATTGTGGATTTGGTGTGATAGCATGCTGCTTTTCCACTACCAAGCCAATTATTTTCTTTGCTTAGCCTCTCCATTGAGTGTTAACGTGGGCCAGTTAGAACGAATATGGTTTCATTTTCTATTGTGGTGCTGAAAATTAGGCTCTTTGGAATGCAATACAAATGCGCCAGTCATTGCTTTGTTGCAATGATTAAATATTTCTGTTTTGGGCACTACTTTTTTATCTGATATTTACTTGACACAAATTAACACGAATAATATAGCACAAATAAACACAGCCATTTAACAAAAAAAAAAATTGAAATTGCTACAACAAAAGTGGTTACAAATTCTAATACTAACAGCACGGCTGCCTAGAAATCCGGGTCGAGAATGGTTTGTACTCCTGCCACACCATACCAGGCTCACTTGTGAACACAGCCATAACCATAACTGATTGTTCTTAGAACTCTATCAGCCGACAGTGGACAAGCTGCTAGAGAGAAGCGATTGCAAAGTCTAAGTGAAAACATCATACCTTATTTTTACTACTAGTTATAGCACCAAATAAACATACATGAACTTCAAGTCTCAATCATGAAAAGACGTCGGTTTATAAACACATTTACACTCAAGTCAATCAGTGTCTACAGTTTGTCAATAATCACAGTTTAATACAGTGTTTTCCAACTCTGTTCCCGAAGGCGCACCAACAGTACACATATTCAACCTCTTCAATCAAACACACATGAATCAACTCATCAGAACACTTGAAGAGACTCCCAAACTTGAATTGAATGGCTCAGATAAGGGAGACAAGCAAAATATGTACTCTTGGTGTGCCTCCAGGAACAGGGTTGGGAAACATTGGTTCAATAAAAAAGAAAAATGGAGGATTTTATGTATCATTCTTCCCTCTGCTGAACTGAAATTGTACCGAACCACCATTTTGTGTACTGTTATATACCTTGCACATATAGGCAAGATCCACAATTGTATTGAAATGCAATTGACTGAACTCAGAAGTTAACAGCTCACATTTTCTGAAAATTACAGAGGATTAAAAAGTAATGGCAGTTTTTAGTTTTGGGTGAACTACTCCTTAGACTGTGAACAGAAATATTAAAGTTTTTCCACTGCCTAATATCCGCCTGTGGCTAATGAGTTTAATAGGGTTCGCTACATGTCTAATCTGAATCTTTTATTTGTTTAAAGCTTTTGCTCGTGATATATTTAAACGACTCAGCAATCTCAAACACCAAAGCTGTCCGTTTTAAAAACGGCTGTGTTACTATCGCAGATATTCTTAATATAGCTTCTAGGTCAGGCAAATGGATGGTTGGTATGCTGGAACGATTTTTTAGCCATTTAATATTCATGGAATATAAAATATTCAGTGTTATACGTCATTTGCTGCCTGTAAAGCAGGAAAGCTACATGAAAGATTTCCCGCCACGTCATTTCATTTGCCTCGTTCGTATAATTTGGTTTCCGAAAAGATGTATGTGCTGTTAATCTCTTGTGCTTTTGTGTTAAAAATGACACATTTTCCAGCGACTGCACAGCAACACTAAATCTTTTTCATCTCTGTGTGGGAAATATAATAGCTGAATAGCTGAAGAGTTTTGCTATATTTGCAGTGTTGTGTCAGATCCCGCTGTGTGCCGTGTGTTTGCTATTGTGACAAGCTAATTTCCATTTGGCCATCGTTAAAGTTCTGCCTGTCGTTTCCTAATATATCATTTTCTATATAAATAATCTTGAGGAACTTTGTTGTGCACAAACTCCATCAAGGCAGGCTTGTTATTTATGGGAGACCAGGGGCTGTAGTAAGAGCTTATTCAATTCTAAATGTCTCCTAAATAATAAACATATTTGTCTTCTGGATTTTTGTATAAAGGCAAGATCCAGTATGATGTTTCTCAAACAGAATCATTGAATGTATTTTTCTAATTTTTCTCATTAAGTTCAATACAATAATGAAAATATTTGAATAAAATAAATTTATTTCCCAAAATAAATTAATATATTAATTTATATAAAAATAAATTTCCCAAAAGAAAATGCATGATTAATTATTAATTGTTTTATTTACATAAATAAAATACACGTTAGCTGAGAAAAAGAAAATAAAACATTTCTCATTTATTTAGTTGATTAACTTGATAAATATATATATATATATATATATATATATATATATATATATATATATATATATATATATATATATATATATATATAACTAAATCTGAAATTATATAAAACTAAATAGACACTTTTTAAACTAAAATATTCATTACATTTTGTTTATGTTTAACATACACTCACCTGCCACTTTATTAGGTACCAGGTTGGACCCACTTTTGCCTTCAGAACTGACTCAATCCTTTGCGTCATAGATTAAACAAGGTACTGGAAGTATTCTTCAGAGATGATAGCATCATGCAGTTGTTGCATATTTGTTGGCTGCACATCCATGATGCTAATCTCCCATTCCACCACATCCCGAAGGTGCTCTATTGGATTAAGATCTGGTGACTTTGAAGGCCATTTGAGTACAGTGAACTCATTGTCATGTTCAAGAAACCACTCTCAGATAACTCACCCTTTATAATATAGTGCATTATACTACTGGAAGTAGCTTTCAGAAGAAGGGTGCACTGTGGTCATAAAGGGATGTACATGGTCGGCAACAATACTCAGGTAGGCTGTGGCATTGACACAATGCTCAATTGGTACTATTGGGCCAAGAAAATACCCCCCACACCATTTCACCCCCAGTCTGAACCCTAGATACAAGACAGGATGGGTTCATGCTTTCATGTTGTTGATGCCAAATTCTGACTCCCATTCCAATGTTGCAGCAGAAATCAAGACTCATCAGACCAGGCAACATTTCAATCTTCTATTGACCAATTTTGGTGAGCCTGTACAAGTTGTAGCCTTGTATTCCTGTTCTTAGCTGACAGGAGTGGCACCCGATGTGGTCTTCTGCTGCTGTAGCCTATCCATCTCAAGGTTGAATGTGTTGCGCATTCACAGATGCTCTTCTGCAGACCTCGGTTGTAACGAGTGGTTGTTTGAGTTACTGTTGCTTTTCTATCAGCTCAAACCAGTCTGGCCATTCTCCTCTGACCTCTGGCATCAACAAGGCATTTGCGCCCACAGAACTGCCGTTCACTGGATATTTTCTCTCTTTCTGATCATTCTCTGTAAACCCTAGAGATGGTTGTTTGTTAAAATCCCAGTTGATCAGCAGTTTCTGAAATACTTCAGACCACCCTGTCTGACAACAACTATGCCACATAAAAGTCACTTAAATCACCTTTCTTCCCCATTCTGATGCTTGCCCTGCTGAAAAGTCCAGCTTAAACCAGCCTAGGCTGATTGGCTGGTTTTAGCTGGTCGACCAGGCTGGTTTTAGAGGGGTTTTCGCCATTTCCAGCCTGGTCTTAGTTGGTCAGGCTGGAAAATGACCAGCTAAATCTATCTAAAACCAGCTTGACCAGCCAGGTTTAAGGGAAATGACTGGACACCAGCCTGGAAATGGCCAAAACCCCTCTAAAACCAGCCTGGTTGACTAGCTAAAACCAGCCAACCAGCCTAGGCTGGTTTAATCTAGTTTTT